CGTGCCAATTTACGTAAGTAGACAGAAACAATAATAGCGTATTTCATAATGTACTTTTGTACAATGTATGTTTATTATGCAGACAAATATGACCATGGTATTATTACATAGTATTAAAACATTTCAGAACAAAAAGAGAATATTCATTCAAACCGACGTACGTGTTTTTATCCTTGTCATGCGTATTACGAAAACAACCAGCGTACTGTCGCTGAATTCGCCGACGCAGTAATAGGCAGAGCTACTTGTAGAGCACGAACTGTCTTTTCTAAATTTAGGATGTATATGTATGTTATATAAGGAGCATATATATGTACAACAGCTCTTGGTTGGCAGTCAAGGATATCCTCGGGTAGAAGCGCTCCCTTTTGGAACATACTTGATAATAGCGATAGAATATAAAAGACTGTGTTTATGAAACACTCATATCAAGGATTCGAAATCTGACCATATATCCACATTTTAGTCTTGAATGTGAGTGGCGAGTAGCAGGCTATGATGACCCTTTTGCCTAACAGCTGGTGTTATCGCCTGTTTTCGTTTATCCATCAACACAATTTTCACAGTTATTTTGCCTTTTATTGCGGAAGATAATTATCCTCTGGATTTTACGTGAATGAAACATATTTCATATGGAATGTCCTTAGGTATACACATAACTACATGCAAATATAAATTAATAAATCGATGTTACAATTTACAAGTATCACTTATACAGTATACGCACGCACGCACGCACGCACGCACGCACGCACACACACGCACACACACACACACACATTATCGATATTTTACATACTTACATCGCTACTTTTGAATAAATTCTTACATCGCACGTGTTATGGTATAAATGTTACCTGAACGTAAATACAAATAATAGAACATCATTATATTGTGACACTTTTAAGTATGTAATTGAAAGTATTCGCACCGTATGTCTTGAGAATATATTTCACTTAAACAATGAGTATGTGATGAGATGAAAACGTGTTGTATTATATCAGTGTAAATATATGAATAAAATCAGTTAATGAGTCATGGTTATATCGTTTTACATCTTTGATGTATACAGTATATATGACATGCATGTATACAGACAGCGTACGTCTTTGGTATGTTTTACAGTGAAATGAAATTTAAGCGTGTTGTATTACAGGGGGTATAAACAGGGATCGACACTATATAACGTGTTGTAGATTATCCCTGGTATAAATTAATAATTCCTGTTGTCAGAATAGTTCTAGTTATGAACAAAACCTAACACAACATTTACTCTTGAAAAAGTCAAAACTGGGCTCGGGTTATGACTTAGAGTTTGGTTTAAGTTGGGGAACAGATATTCGTCAGAATAGAATACCTTGAAGTCAAAAGCTGTTGATGACTGCTTGTAACAGATATTCGTCAACACCTGACCTGATGACCCTACATTCACCGTGACCCAGGACATTGCTAGCTTTTCGGTCACGTGATGTCGGAACCTGTCCGCCTGAACACACGTAGCACCTCAATGCTCATATTCAATGCATACACACAGTGTACAATACAATAAGCGCAGTAGATAGGAACGGTGTATATCGAACAATGTCACTTACTAGTGCGAATTTAGAGTTGTCTCCTCTTCCGTCTACAGCCGCATGCCTATCTCCTCAGGTGAAATGTACAATTTGTGTCGCTGTTGACATGCTGTGAGCGCCCCGTACCGTGACGAGGGGAACAACTGGGGCCCTATTTGGGTTCTTTCACGAGTGACGGAGAATCACGCTTAATTGAACCAATGAAATTAGCATCTGAGGAGAAACGTGCCAGTCGAAAGATGATCTGTGTCAAGGTGATAACTTCTGTACCTCATTTTCTGTGTTGATTAACCCCGGAGGCCCTGTAGAGGTTATGTCAAACGTGTTTATTTCAAGAGTTGACAAATACGAAGGGTAATTTATTGGGTGTGCCATAAATGTAGAGCAGGTATACTTATACAAATACTGTTGGAAGTTTTACAATGGGGTAATGTAATGTGTAATGTCCACGTGGTGAAGACTACGGCTGAGTCCGGGAGCTACGTGTAATTCAATCTGTTTCGGGAGATCGGGGTTGTGCCGATTTTGTCTAATGCACCGCAATACGTTGTGCTTTCTTTGGGCTCTCCAGAAACGTTGAAAGTACGCTTGCACTCTGTGTCGTCCCGACAAGTACCAAGCCCTGTAACACACCGGTACAACACAATAACAATACCACACCAGTACAGTACCATGACAGTACCACGCCAGTACAGTACCATGACAGTACCACGTTAGTACAATACCATGACAGTACCACACCAGTACAATACCATGACTGTACCACACCAGTACAATACCATGACAGTACCACACCAGTACAGTACCATGACAGTACCACGCCAGTACAGTACCATGACAGTACCACACCAATACAATACCATGACGGTACCACACCAGTACAGTACCATGACAGTACCACACCAGTACAGTACCATGACAGTACCACGCCAGTACAATACCATGACGGTACCACACCAATACAGTACCATGACAGTACCGTGCCAGGACAGTACCATGACAGTACCACACCAGTACAATACCATGACAGTACCACACCTGTACAAAACCATGACAGTGCCAGACCACTACAATACTATGACAGTACCACGCCAGTACAATACCATGACAGTACCACACCTGTACTATACCATGACACTACCACGACAGTACCACACCAGTACAATACCATGACAGTACCACACCAGTACAATACCATGACAGTACCACGCCAGTACAATACCATGACAGTACCCACCTGTGTACAATACCATGACAGTACCACACCAGTACAATACCATGAAACCAGTACTATACCAGTACAGTACCATGACAGTACCACACCAGTACAATACCATGACAGTACCACACCAATACAATACCATCATGACAGTACCACACCAGTACAATACCATGACAGTACCACACCAGTACAATACCATGACAGTACCACACCTGTACAATACCATGACAGTACCACGCCAGTACAATACCATGACAGTACCACACCAGTACAATACCATGACAGTACCACACCAGTACAATACCATGACAGTACCACACCAGTACAATACCATGACAGTACCACACCTGTACAATACCATGACAGTACCACGCCCATACAAATCCATGAAAGCACCACGCCAATACCATGACAGTACCACGCCTGTACATTACCATGAAATCACCACGCCAAATACAATAACATGACAGTACCACGCCAATACAATACCATGACAGTACCACACCAGTACAATACCATGACAGTACCACACCAGTACAATACCATGACAGTACCACACCTGTACAATACCATGAAAGTACCACACCTGTACTATACCATGACAGTACCACGCCAGTACAATACCATGACAGTACCACACCTGTACAATACCATGACAGTACCACACCAGTACAATACCATGAAAGTACCACACCAGTACAATACCATGACAGTACCACGCCAGTACAATACCATGACTAGTACCACACCAGAACCACATACCATGACAGTACCGCAACACTACAATCAGTTGACGAGACAACACCTGTACAATTCCCATGACAATACCTCACCAGTACCACAATACCAATGACAGTACCACACCTGTACAATACCATGACCATTACCACTACTGTAAAATACCATGACATAACCTCACCTCCACAATACCATGGCAGTACCACACCTGTACAATACCATGACCAGTACCACACCTGTTCAATACAATGACATAACCTCATCTCAACAATACCATGACAGTACCACACCTGTACAATACCATGGCAGTACCACACCTGTACAATACCATGACATAACCTCACCTCCACAATACCATGACAGTACCACACCTGTACAATACCATGACCAGTACCACACCTGTACAATACCATGACAGTACCACACCTGTACAATACCATGACAGTACCACACCTGTACAATACCATGACCAGTACCACACCTGTATAATCCCATGACATAACCTCACCTCCACAATACCATGGCAGTACCACACCTGTACAATACCATGACAATACCACACCTGTACAATACCATGACATAACCACACCAGTACAATAATATGACCAGTACCATTCAAGAACCACACAGGTACAAAAAAAGTACTGCAACACCACCTCAGTGAAGTGAGCCAACACTTGATTCTTTCCCAGCAAAAGTTAATTTACCATGGCATGACAGATTGGTCATGTGAAAGTCATGAACGTGTATTCTGTTACGTGGCGCTCTCCACGCTGACTCACCAACACTCACCCAGACCGTCATTTCAGCAGAGGTCGAGACAACACAGAGTTTATGGTGACCTGGAAGTGTTTTGTGAAGATATACGCGCCTGGCTGACTTGGCTTTTACCTGAGTTCGGTATACCCGACCTTCGTGCCCGACAAAAGCCGATCCCACCAACCCGGCTTTAGACGAGCTAGTTCGTTCATCATGTCAAGGGGAATCGTTTCTCCTCCAAACAGCCTCCGGTTGTATGTGGTCAGCAAAGGCTGTCTTTGCAAAACATTATCATGAACTCTCAGTTTCAGAAATTACGTTAATTTGTAAATGTAATCAATGTGTAGATCATTGTAGGTACGTGCGTGTGTCAATGCGTGCGTATTAGGGGAAGGGTGTGCGTGCTTGCGCGCGCGTGTGTGTGTGTGTGTGAGAGAGAGGGGTGTTCATACGTGTACACAAATACAAAATTTCTACTGTTGATCTTGAACTAGTGCTTCAATATGTTTTGTATTCCTTCTTCGTTTATTGGTGTTGTTCCAGTAAATTTATGACAAGCAGAACTATTATATATATCAGGGGAACATTTGTTTGTTAAATAAATGTTGGATTTTTTATCTGCACCCTTAACTATTGACCCGTAAAATGATTCGCTCCCTCGTGAGCGACAGTCAGGTCACGTGATCACCCTCAGTCTATATTTATACTCGGTTTTGTTTGTGTCGGTCCGTGTCTCACGGTAGCTGATACCTCGAAACATACAGAAGCGGATCTATCTTCATAATCGTAAGTTCCCGTCATTTCTCAGCTATTCGATTTGTTTGTCTTGTGAATACTAACCAACCCCACAGAATATCTCAGGGATATTTTCACTGCACCAGGTGACACAGTTAGTATCTTGTCGGTGCATTTGACTTTCCAGTCGCCATGCCTACTTACATTCAAATTTTCATGTCAACTCTGGTATATCTCACTCAGTGAATGTAGGATGTCGTTTAGACGGAGGTTTGGGCGATATCAATTGCCCGTGAACTATTTGCTTGAGGGTCTAAACTGGTGGCTTACGTCGACTTTTGTCATTTGTAACTTAAGCACGACACGTTACATGTTAACAGGCGCAGTGTATGCGTGCGCGTGTGCGTGTGCGTGTGTGTGCGTGTATTAAAATTTCAAGGTTTATATTTCAGATATTATCAATTTTGGCTATGTACGTTCTCTGGAGGACGCCCCACTCACTGTTAATGCCACATGTTATAGGTATAAGAATTTAACCGGGGCTGTCTTGAATCAAACAAAAATCATCAAATTATTAATTTTAATTTATTGTTTAACGAAATTTCGTACATTAGCTGCAATTCATTGCTACAATCGAGTCTGACCCTCTCTATAGGAAAAATGGCTTTCATTTGGAACAATTCAGAAGGTGATGAAAGTATTCATTGGAAAACATTTACTCTAGTAACCAGCCTATAACACACGATAGTTCGTCGAAAAGCCCTTCTCGAAAACGCTTCAATATTTTCCAACGAAAATTGGCAGACATACCAAGCAGATCCTGAAGCAGTGCCTTTTACTATTTGCGGACTTTTGGGCATTTACTTATTAAACTGTGCCATACCAAGACCAGGTTGTCAAGTTATGGCTTTTGCTATTTGGGGATTTGTTGAATTTATATATCTTCAGTTTCCATGGCAAGGACTTCCAAATCTCAGTTACATAGTATTTTTTATATAGCTCATACTATTCTTGCATTCGGATAGAAATATTAGATAGATCTTCACAGGACTCTCACCAAGGTTGAATTACAGTAATAGTCAGATGATATATTCGTTCGTCTGTACAAGGGATTTGTCTTCCTCTGGTGACTCTTGTTTTCAATTTAGTCAAACATCATGGCTGGGACTTTGGAATGGATTAGTGCAACTGCTTTGGAGTACCGGATCACACTAATGCTGGTTTTGGCAGTGACGGTAATGGTGTATTTTATGACCCGGAAACGTTACAAGCTTCCACCGGGACCAAGTGGTCTCCCGTTGCTTGGCAATATTCTAGGTAAGCTGAACACCAAAGCAGACGGAAAATGTTAAACATATGAAGTCTTCATATTTGAAACTGTCCTGAGTTTAAGTCTGCGCGAATATTCCCTAAAATTTGAATTTTAACTCATAATCCCAGGTTTCAAAGTTATATGCTTCTATAACTTAGAATTTTAAGTGTGGCCCTGCCCATATACGTATATATGTTTCAACGTTTACAAATAATCAGAATACATGTGTTTTGTTACATCAATTGCAGCTATACAAAACAAGTCACTGTTCCGGATGCTGATACAACTGGAAAAGAAGTACGGCCCCGTGATAACCCTTAACCTTGGTAAAGCGGCTTTGTGATTGGTTCAAATTGTTCTAAGTTTCAAGGATACAACCAATGATGTAACGACAATTAATACGATATTCTTCCATGGGTGGCACAGTCGTCTGGTGGGCCATATTTCCCTGTAAAGCATAGAGGCCTTTGTGCACGCCACTGGCTCGTGATTGTGGCTTCGAATCCTAGTTTGTCCCGATTATGTGTTTTGGTGTGTCAGTCCATAATTTTCTCAGAAATGTTTCGTTATTAGAAGTTGATAGGAATTTAAACTTATGATCATTAGGTTTTTGACAATATACAGATGGTAACTATTTGATCTAAGAGCATTTTAGACATTACAAACAAATAAAAGGTGGTGCTCATCTTCTACTCCTAAATTGCACAATGCGTCCCGTTACATTAATATTTTGTCATTTACCTTCATTATACTTTAGTCTCAGTAATCCACATCCAAATGTAATCAATATTGTACGGAGTTTTCTGTGGACAATACGTAATAAATATTTTTCAGGAGCTAAAACAGTTTTATATACAATATCCTGAGCATTTATTTAATAAACAAGTCCATGACTCAAAAGACCTAACATTAACATGGTATGTTTGTCTGTTGTTTAACATCGCCCTCAGCATTATTCCAGCTACAAGACGGCGATCTGTAGGTGATCCAGCCTCAGTCAGCCTGACCACCCGATCCCGAGTCGCCTCAAGCATGGGTTGTTAAAGATTAATTCTAACCCGAATCTTCACTGGTCCAGACTAAGGACTTCTGTTGGTCTGTGAGACCTTTATGGATTTCACCGTGCACAGGCTGTGGTCTTATAGCTGGGGTATTTTGTACTGCGACAAAATCTGTTTGGTGTTTATTATGAACGACAGTAAACATGGCTTGTTTCCCGTAGGTCCAATACGCACTGTGTTTCTCAACAACTTGGAAGTTGTGCAGGAAGCGTACGTAGGGAAGTCTGTGGACTTTGCGGGACGGCCGCAGACGTTCTCAGGTTCGTTCAATAAAAAGCATAATAAAATAATATGATAAAACCAACAAAATAACTTCTTGCAAGCACAATTTATATTTCTCATTCAACAAGCGATGGTAAACATAGCTAAAGGTTAGGTTTACCATTTCTATAAACTTTGGAAAGTACATTTGCAATCACTGTGAAGTCTTACAATGTCCACATTATCTGCGAAGATTTCACTGTTCATGTGACTATTTCAGGATTGGCTTTAACCGAGGGAGGCAAGGACATTGCTTTCACAGATTATGGACCGACGTGGCAACTCCATCGGAAACTGGCACTGAGGGCCCTCAAGTAAGTCGAGAAACAAATGCAGAGGTTCTTATCTTACTGTATCTTATGCCTTTGTTTCTGACGGGTGCCACCGGTGGGGCAGGATGCCTTCACGTTTTCGTCAAGACCTGGTATTCTCACACATGCTCATAATATTATTAAATTTGTACAGTTGAGTCTGCATTCATCAGGGATTTATTATGGGTGCAGAAAGGGTTTTGTCGCTTATATTTTTATGCTTATGGAAAGCCAGCCAAGAATAATGTCAATACTGAAACACTGGAGACATTTATTGGGGTGACATCGGTAAACTAGAACTATGAAAGTTTGTTTTGTAGGCACTACATGAAAGGCGAGAGGTTTCAGGACACGATAACTGAAGTTATGGAAGCTGTGACGATAGAGATGGGGACAGAGACGGGCTCGTTTGACATCTACAGCTACATCAACCTCGCCATCTTCAACATCATCAGCAAGATCTGTTTCAATGAGAAGTGAGCAACATAAATATTACTCCATATTTCTTACAGTTCAGCTGCATGGTGTTTATTTCCGGTGAAAAGAAAATGGTTTCACAATAATAACAAAATACTATTTACCCCATGACTCATTCGGCATACATGAACTGTGATATTAGGATCGTTTAGATATATTCTCATGAAATGTTTTATGTTTGAAAAAGTATATAAAAGCTCCTCTCTGTCAGTCTTTCGTCTTCCCGTCCGCCAAATGGATCACCTTAATACACTTTTACATTTTGGACGGAACATATTGAATGTACAGATATTGCCCTTTATTCCGACATTTTTCGGCACCTGGTCAAATCTATTCCTTCTTCTTAGTATGTGGCGGTTATTTTGTGTTTTGTATGTTTCCCGATGTTTGTACCGAAGTACTACTTGTGAAGGGATGAGCACAACCACTGCAATATGTACGTTGGCATGTATGTTGATATTTGAAGATATAACGCCCAGAAAGATCCGAATTAGACTGACTGACTGAGTTTGGTTTTTACGCCACTTTTAGCAATATTCCATCAAAATCACGGCGGGGACACCAGAAATGGGCTTCACACATTGTACCCATGTAGGGATTCGAACCCGGGTCTTCGGCGTGACGATCCAACGTTGGTCAGATCCGAATTAGAACTGATCTTCAGCAACATTTTCTTATCCTTAGGGGTTGACGGGATCTGGTGGTCAGGCCCCGCTGACCTGGTTGCCAAATAGCATCGTACCATACTTACGTTATGTTCCTCTCGTCAAACACTGGACTGTCTAGTCCAGACTTATTTTAACAGACCCTCTCCAGATAGACCTGGAGTAGTATGGATAGCGGAGTGTATTAAAAAGCCAAACAATATTTTGTTTTAGGTTTTCATCGGACAATGAAGAGTTCCTGAAAATCTGTAAGGCACTTGACATCTTCTCGCAAGAAACAGGAAATGGATTCGCGGAAGATGTATTCCCTCCTTTAAGACTTTATCCAACAGCGAAATTCAGGAAGTTCATGAAACTAAACGATGGGATACTTAAATTCATGTACAAAAGGATCAACGCACACAGAGAAACGTTTATAGCAGGTAAATATTCTGAGCATCATGAGCGTCGAACTACGCAATTTGGATACAATGACATGCATCAACCAAGTCCGCGAGCCTGACCACCCGTATCCTGTTAGGCGCCTTTTACGACAAGCGTATGGGTTATTGAAGACCGATTCTAACCCGGATCTTCACCGGTCTCAAAAGAGTTACCACGTACCAGTTCTTGTATCTATCCGCGTTTAATCGATTAAACTCGACGTCTTTAGAGCAAGACACCTTGTGTCAAGTGGCTACTACAGCTTCGTGAATTAAGCTCCACTTCAATGTAGAACTTTTCTCTCGCACCATCGCTTATGTAATTCAATAATATTGTCCGTCACACAAGATCAGCTGTTGTATCTCGTCTACAATGGTCTGTATGTTGTATAACGTCGCTCTTAGGAAAATGAGGATGCGGGCTTGTATATAATCTAGACTTGTCCTGACTCTACCGTGGTTGATCGATGTTGCGATTGACGAATCCCGGCACAGGGTTACTATGACACGCAATCAACAAGGTCTCCCAGTCTGACCACCAGATCACCAAAGTCACCTCTTACAACAAGCACGAGTTGTTTTGGGCCTATAATAATATCCTCGGGAGAACTTTCAAATTCATTGACATCTCATGAAAATAATTCACGAGCTACTTGTATTTACCGTATGTTTTCCCATAATGATCTGTGACATTAATGGCATCGTATTTTCACAGTTTCGAGATGGTTTTATTGCCTTTGGAATAGTAAAATGTACGACAAATGTTAACGTGACAAAGTCCCATCACAAAGGACCTTCAAAATGTCTCGCGTCCATAATCCAAAACTAATGCATTTCCATGCAGCGGAAAACAAGCGAACTGTTTCGTGCAAAATATCTCGCGATTATTTAATAACTTCGTATGTTTTATCGCTTACTTACAAAAGCAGTATGCGAATTGGAAGAAACGTGTTATTGCAATTAAATCATTATTACTGTACCAAATGCGAATATACAATTAAGTCAACATCGGAGAGTGCGGGAATGTTGGTCGGATCAGTCTGCCAATTTTAAAGTTAAAACGTGAACAATTGATGCCAGATATTCTTAGCAGCACTGGATGGTGGATAGAGGGTGTGCAATATGTATCATAATGCAGATCTTATCCGGAATCAGATTCCAAGTAACTTCTCATTCCATATCAGCGCAGGGATGAACATCTGAAAGAACTGACTGGTGGTACTGTCCACAAATGAAAATTCCCCATTACTGAGGCTGTAATACCCTGAATCCGGCTTCCCAGTGGGTGGGAAGACCATCCATATATTCACACTCTTGTCTGAAGAAAATAATTTGATAACCACTTAAACCTACATCACATGATGATATATCTGTGTCTATCTGAAAACATTCGTTAGAGTGATTCCCTGCTTTGAGAAGATTTGAGTCAAGGCCACTGTACAGGTTTTTAACGAATGGTTTACTTTACAGGTATCAATGTTTCTAAAACCACGCATGCCTCATAAAATATCAATTTCCTTTTGTAAAACATTGAGCTTGTGTCAATAAGTGTTGCCCTTTACCAAGACTTGGTTTTTCAGATGCACAACGTGACTTCACAGACGCCATGTTGATTGCCCAGAAAGAGGCAGAGGAGGAAGAAGACCAGGAGCTGCTAGACCAGATCACCAACACGCATCTCGGCCAGACAGTAGCGGATGTTTTCACAGGTAATCAAAACACATATGAAGCTTTTCAAAAGCATCGCGAGAAACTAGGAAGTACGCTACTACTTGAAACAAATATCTTTGAAACATATCGGTAAATTGATCAGACACAATTATAATAATGTTTGTCAATATAGAATTATGTATCTTCAAGATCGAACGTAACTATATACACAGATATTTAAATTGTGAATATTAAATTCCCACTTTGGTTTACATTTTGTTTACCGTTATTTACGATATAAACTTTCACCTGACAGCGGGCTTGGACACGTCTCGACAGACTCTGTATTGGACAGTCCTGTTCCTTGCAGCCCACCCGGAAGTACAAGCGAAACTCCATGCGGAAGTGGACAGGGTGCTGGGTAGGAAAACCTTCAGAATTCAAATCATTTTCTGTCAGTGCCATTTTCAAATTTAAGTTTGCCAAGTTTATCACAGGCATTTAGACAGCATTTGACATCGATGCTGAAGGATACAGTATCTACGCCACGCCACGCCACGCCACGCCACGCCACGCCACGCCACGCCACGGGTTTTTGTAGCCCTACAACTTTGTAGCGCCTGGTCGCCTTGTTACTTGCAGTGTAACTGATACTCAATCTGGAGTAACGCATTTACGACATTTTGTACATCAGGACGTCTGTTTTCGTTGATGTATCGCAATACAACCGGCAAAAACCCTTTAAATAATGATGATGCAATATTTGTAAGATTCCAACAACATCATGAGGTTTTATTGAATCAGTCAAATAGACACGCATTCTGTATCACCGGTCACAAACACATGAACAGGCAAGTCATGCACTTGAAGGAAAAAAACCACACAGAATTATCATGGTTTATGGAATTGCATTGTACTTTATTTTTGTCACTGACTTTAAAATATTCTCGTCATGTCTACCAGAGCCTCCTTCAAATTGTAATTGTAATAGAAAAAGCCTTGTCGATTGCACTTTCAAAGGTTGTCAAACTTAAAGCCAAAATCCAACTGAAGTAATACAATTGCCAAAATTTGATTTCAACGGCACCAAAAACTGGATTTCACATCTCGTATATTGGGTGTGCATTGCGCGTGATGACCGGATTTGCGGGTAAACACGGATACGGACAAACTTCGACGATCATTTAAATGAAGCTGCCTGTTACAAAACATTATCCAGTTGTAATCAGGTGCTGATTTTCAACTCCTTTGTAAATACCATTGTAAACAATCACCCTTCTTTGTATTTGTAATGAATCTATCTCTGCTATTTGAAAAGTGACATCTTGCTTTGGTGAAGCCGAACATATTTGTGATAAATACCTGATTTGTATTTACTGAATTTGTATCTACTGCTACGACTCGAATTTGGTCAACTAAGATTGCCAATTGTAACCTGTAAATGCATTAGGTGTTCAACTAGTCCTAGTCGTTTAGAAGTATAAACTGTCAGTAAGGACTGTTTCTAAACAATTTTCATTCACAGGTGAGCGGCGAGTACCGATGCTGTCCGAGCGACACAAGCTGCCGTACACCGAAGCCGTGCTCTATGAGAGTATGCGGAAAGGGACAGTGGCGCCTCTGGGTCTCCCCCACTCAACCACTTGTGATACAACTGTCGGTAAGACGGGAGCAGACTGTATGTTAGTCTTTGACTTAACGGCTACGTTTAATATCAGCATTTAAGATTTGCCCTATTATTTGGGTCTGTATATATTGGCAGTAACATAGTACTGATTGGTCATGGTGATGATATTTACAATATGTTCCTCTTAAGGGCACCACAGTTAGAACTGAAAAAGGACAGAATTATTCACACATGAACTGTCCAGGATCAACAAACCGAAGGATCGAACCTCGGACTTGTCCGGATTATGATCCCCTTAGTTTGCTAGTCCGAGACTTACGGATTTCTGCAAGTAACATATCTCATTTCGTACATAAACTGAAATAGTGTTCCAAGCTCCTCACTCACCCACCTGCCCTAAACCCACCCAGCCACCCGCTCACTCACTTACCCAAAATCCAACCCCCAACCCACTCACTCACTCAGTCGCTCACACTTTTCATCTTTTTTTAAAATTTGTTTTTCTTTTCGACATATTTTCGCAGCTGGCTACGAGATTCCAAAGGGACGATGGTGTTTGCCAACATCTTCGCTATCCACCATGATCCAAGACACTGGAAGGAACCGGAAGTGTTTAATCCCGAACGTTTCCTAGACGATTCCGGAAGGTTTGCACCGAAGTCAGAAAGTTGGATGCCTTTCTCTGTCGGCAAGAGGGCGTGTATGGCGGAAGCTTTGGCCAAACCGGAACTGCATGTTGTCTTGGCCTCGCTCATGAGGTGTTTTGAGATTCGACTGCCGGACGGAGTGACCCCTGACCTTGAACCGGACGAAGGAAGCTTTTCATTTACGCCTAAGCGCTATCAGGTTGTCGTCAAAAACAGATTTGCATGAGATTGGAAGATGTGACAATCCAGGTGATGTCCATGTGTACGTGGAGTACTAATTTTACACATAACTGAATTATGCTGCTAATATATGTTGTCAGCTTACGTAAGAATAATTTGGTAGAAAGTAATGGTTGATGGAAACATTTTCCCTAGCATACATTAGTTATCCATCTTTAAATATAAAAATATGTGTGCTTTGTCATATCTAGCTCGTCTGTAAATCGTCGCCTCCAGCTATGTGATTTCATAATCACCTTTTGCCATGTGGTTCTATCGTTACCTCTTACCATGTGTTCCATCGTCACCTATAGCCATGTGATTCCGTCGTCACCTTTAGACATGTGATTCTATCATCGTCTCTAGCCTAGCCATGTGGTTCCATTGTCACCTCCAGCCACGTGGCTCTATCTTCTCCTCCAGCCATGTGGTTCTATCGTCTCCTCCAGCCATGTGGCTCTATCGTCTCCTCCAGCCATGTGGCTCTATCGTCTCCTCCAGCCATGGGGCTCTATCGTCTCCTCAAGCCACGTGGCTCTATCTTCTCCTCCAGCCATGTGGCTCTATCGTCTCCTCCAGCCATGTGGCTCTATCGTCTGCTCCAGCCATGTGGCTCTATCGTCTCTCTATCGTCCTCCAGCCACGTGGCTCTATCGTCTCCGCAAGCCACGTGGCTCTATCGTCTCCGCAAGCCACGTGGCTCTATCTTCTCCTCCAGCCATGTGGCTCTATCGTCTGCTCCAGCCACGTGGCTCTATCGTCACCCTACAGCCGTGTGGCGCTACCGTCTCCTCCAACCATGTGGCTCTATAGTTTCTTCCAGCCATGTGTCTCTATCGTCTCCTCCAGCCATCCATGTGACTCTATCGTCTCCTCCAGCCATGTGGCTCTATCGTCGCCCTTAATCATCTGTTTTCCAGATCAAATGCTATCACCAAACATCACGCCATATGACGTTCAATATGACTCTGGAATTTCGTTGCATGGTTGAAATTTCATTCACACGTATTCTCTTTATTAAGGCAAACAGAAATATGCATGATATATACTGAAGTCACTAAAAGGTGTGTCACCTCCATTTACTTGTGACCGCCTCCGTGGTGTAGTGGTTAGAGCGTCCGCCCGGAAAGCGCAAGGTCGTGGGTTCGATCCCCGACCGCGTCATACCAAAAGACGTTAAAATATGGTACTTGTTGGTCCCTGCCTGGCGCTCGGCATTAATTGGTACAACAAGGACTGGTCGGCTCGGAGTCAGTATAATGTGTCTGAGTGGGGTATTCATGCTTCACTGCGGCATGGTATCTCAGTGGGCTAGGACTATAAAGCCAGCTTCAGTCTGGGCTAGTACAAGCAGCCGCACCTACACATACACACGCATGCACGTCGTCATATGAGCGAAAATTTCTCAAGCACGACGTAGAACCCAATTTCACCTCACCTCACCTCATTGAGCTCGGAAGACGAGGTGCATTGGTTGCATTTAACACTGTACATACCGTGTTCACAGCAATAAAGCTTACTCCTCAGAATAGAGACGTCCCTTTCTTATTGATCCTTAATTGTCATTTGTTCAAATTGTGTGTAAGTAATCCGGAGCAAGCATTTTAGTATTCAATGTGTATTCACTACATGCAACACTACATGTAACAATTGGCTTCAGCCGATATAACTAGCACTAGGCTACAATTTTTTCACCTTTTTCACCAATTTCACCTCACCTCACCATTTACTTGTATGCATGTTTCACCTGTCCCCTGGTACTAAATGGTATGTGGTTCTGTGTGGAAAGTATGTATTTCTTAAGTGTACTACTGTTTAATGGACAGAACAATCAATGTGTCTATTTCCCTTTGGAATCTCTGTAAGTGCTTATATCTGCATCTCTATGTACTTTTGACTGTCATTTTGTACTACATTTTCTAAAAATATCTTGTAATAAAAATCTACCTAAACCTGGAGAGGTTTCCTATTCCTTGAAGTAATTCTTCCTTGGGTACTCTAGCATTTTTTCACCGAAAACATGTCTAATGGCCGTGCAAAGAGTCTTTAATTTAAAAAAATAATAATTTAACAACAAACTTAATTTTGTTGATGCGGTATGCAGTGGTGAGCGTATCACCCCCTTTTATGAATAATGATATACAAAGGCCATGACATACTCAATACAAGATCACTTGGTGAGGGAGGCATGGCCCTGCCTACTGGAGAGAACCGACTGACCGAAGCAAGCACGCTCTCTCGAGCTTAGGTCATGTTGGTAATGCCTGATGAATGTACTCGGTCGGCTCCAAATAGCCGCTGAGCAGATCTCTTCAATGGGCAGGGCAGCTGCGAACGCCTTAGAGGTAGCGACAGCCCTGACCGAGTGAGCTTTCAACCCCTCAGGGGGAGGCCTACCCCTAAAGTTGTAGGCCGTACAATTTGCAGAGACGAGCCAGCGGGAAATAGTTTGCTTATTGGCTGGCTCGCCAACCTTCCCTCCGCCATAGCAGCAAAACAATTGAGACCCCTTGCGGATTTCCTTTGTTCTCTTTATGTAGGCATGGAGAACCTGGCGAACATCCAGCGAGTGAGAGCTCGTTGGAGAGGATCCCGAGGTAGAAGGATGTGTGAAAGCAGGAAGCTCAATAGGAGCTGTCACATGGAAGGTATGAGCAACCTTAGGACGATAAGTATCCGGGAGGCGAATGCTTACTCTGTCTTTGTGGAAAACAGTAAGCGCTGGGTCTGCAGACATAGCATGTATGTCACCCACCCTTCTACCAGAAGTCACCGCCACAAGGAAAGCATTTTCCATGTTAGCAGCTGGAGTGAAAGAGAAGAAAAGGAAGGATCGGAGAGCCAATCTAAAACGATTGTCGAGTCCCAAGGGGGACTTGTACCTCTTGTAGTAGGGCGCACTCTATCCACTCCCGCTAGAAAGTGCTGTACAAGAGGGTGCTGTCCCAGAAGAGCACCATCGACAGGGATGTGAAAGGTAGAAATAGCCGTGGAGTACCCTCGAATAGTCGAGGCCGACAAACCATCGTTCAGACGGGACTGAAGGAACTCCAATACTGTGACTAGATCTGCAGAAAAGGGATCTGGAAACCCTCTGTTGTCACACCAGCGCGCATAACGGGCCCATCTATCCTCATACTGAACGTTTGTCGAACCCCTCCTCGAAGCCAGAATTGTGTCTGCAACTGGTGTAGGAATTCCACGTGCCTCGAGTTGAGACCTGACAGAGGCCAAGCCACCCATTGAATGTGGGGATTCGGGTGTGGCGCTTCGTTCTGAGTTAGAAGGTCCGGTCGAAAAGGTAATAGAACAGGAGGCTGAGCCAGAAACCTGAGAATTACAGGAAACCAGCTCTGGGACGGCCAAAGGGGTGCGAGGAGCACAAGAAACCGAGCTGGCTGGGTGGAAATCTGAGACGGGACCCTGGGGACTAACGGTAGGGGCGGGAAAGCCCACAGTATCTTGCCCGTCCAATCCAGTGCAAAGGCGTCGGAAGCTAACGCCCTTGGGTCTGGGATCCGAGAGCAGAACACAGGAATCTGATTTGTCCCCCCAGACGCAAACAGATCCACCTGGAACGGTCCGTACAACTGGGAAATAACCCTGAATGTCCTTCGATTGAGCATCCACTCGTGTGGGGCTAGGATTCGCCTTGACAGGGCATCTGCTCGGACATTCTCCAGCCCGGAAGGTACACTGGGATCACAGACACGTTGTACCGGTCGCACCAAAGTAGGAACTGCCATGCCTCCGCGAGTGAGCGGGCCAGACACAGTGTCACCTTGCTTCCAGGATACACGTCATTGCCGTCTGGTTGTCCATTTCTAGACGAACCGTCTGGTTCTGAACATGGTCCTTGAAGCTCTCGAAAACCAGCCTGACTGCTCTCAGTTGACTGCCCAGAACACACACACACCAGCCGGAAAGGGACGCATCTGTCTGAACTGAGAGAGATGGGGTCGAGGCCTTCAGTTGTTGGCGATCTATAGCCTGCTTTTATATTGTATTGTCCAAATAGTGCGATCAGTTTTAACTTTCCACACTAGTTTTAGTTGTAACTGTGATATTCTAGTTGTTTTACTGTCCTTCGTCGACAGGTTTTTTATAATATACATATATTCCATTTCATTGTCAAATATGTTCTCGTCACGATATTGCTCAGATATTGCCGATGTGACGTTGAATATTAACTCTCTCACTCACTATATTTCAGACATAAGCAGTTTATCATAGGACTAGTTTTTTTTTACTAGATATTCGATTTGCATATCCTATTTACCGTTGCTTTGAAACCATAGACCTAAATGTTTATGATAGTCAACTTCTTTAAAGGTCACATGCAACGTAAAAAACATAACTTTGCAGATTCTTATACCTTTCGGTATGGACTTACCGAAACAAATTTTCAAAAATGCAAATTCAACTTATAAAGTTGAAAAATAACGCGATGAAAAAAAACGCGCGAAATCGGAGTTCAAACGTTTCACTAATTTTCCCCCGACTTTTCTGGGGAAAACAGGTTTCAACAGCTGGGCTGCGCTTATAGCACGTGCGCAGTGAGGTAGGTTCGCGCAGTTTGGGAGCGGTTGTCCGGTGAATACTCGGTGAAGGCTTTGGTGTGAGCTATTTTTCTAATGTTTTGTTGATATCTCACAGGCGTGAGCTTTTTATATGTTATGACAGTAAATTAACTGTTTATATAATTTCATTTGTCTATTTCACCACACGTTCTTCTTACCGAGTCACTTTCTCAGTTCGATACTTAAAAGCAATGCCATTATTTAGCGTTGACAGAATTTCCAACTGTGATATAGATATGTCGTTGTCACAGACTAAACTCAATGGGTTTTTTTATTGACACCTGTGTGTCTGCCTGCCTGTCTGCTAATGACAATATTCAATACACAGCTGCTATCACTGACCACATGCAATTTGAACTTAACACCAATCAGGCTATACACCATAAACAAAATGCATTGATTTATGGCCCGAGTTCGGTCTCTGTCACATTATGTAATTACACAGACAGGCAGGTGTGATACTTGAACACATGACATGTTATGATGTCTGTTGATTGCAAAATGTTATACCCAAAAAATGAGCATGTATTTACAAAACCCAACATCTCTATATATACACACACAATCAGCCGTGAGGGCATCTGCAAATGAACCAGCCGTTACACTTGAGTGCACACCCACCCGCTCTGACTGGGTTCGGTATCCCGGCTGCTTCGTTTCTTGGGAAGTAAACCGAAGTACAATAATATTGCACTTTTGATTTGCGATTGTACGCTTATAATTTTGTTTATATGTTTTTCATAACCAGCAATGTTTTTATGTCATGAATAATAATTGTGTTTTAATTATGTTTGATTTTTGGTTGCATGCAATTTACGTCATATCATTAAATCTGTTTTAGCACTAGGCATTACTTTTTATGAATAACATAGCCGCTGATTTTCAATTACCTGTCATTCCTTTGTTCAGAAAGATTAATCATTGTTCAATGTTCTTGTTTCAGCGGGGTTACCTATGATTATGTAAAGGGAGGTATCTTCAATAAATAAACGCATGTTGCTTGAGATACCATCAAGTAAATAATTAAAAG